TTTTATTATTATTACATACAATAGAATTTGATTCAAAAATAGAAAATCATCATTAAAACTATCTAAATTTGTTATATATATAGATTATATCGATATTATGAACATACTTATTAGCATTTAAGATTGATGATTGATTTGAGGAGATTCTGGTAATGTTGGTATGTACTGTAATAAAAAAATTATTCTACAGTATTATATCCTACTAAATTTCCATTGGTTAAAACTGAATAACTGATAGAAAACAATAGCTCTTTGAATTAAATTATTATTGGTGGTGAGAGATAAAATGATAAAAATTATCAAATCCATAAAGAGTACGGTAATGGCGGAGAGAAGATCTGATACAAGATAAAATTATTAATATTAGCTAATCAATATTATTCAGCAAATTTATTCAGCAAATAGCGATAGTACAATAAAACAAAATGGTTTGTTTAGAAATGATGGATTTAAATTTATTTTTCGTGACGCCCCGGTAGTAAAATTCCACAAGCAGCGCTTTTAATTAGTGCGCAAAAGCCGATTTCTTAGTTAAAATTTGGTGATCTAGAGACTTGATTGGATGTACTCATGTGATTTGATATTCAATAAAAAAAGACTTTCCTAAATTCTTACGCTAAAATCACCGATACTGTGTCGTTATGTACGTAGCGATTCCAGATTAGGGATGTTAATTGGTTGGTCAGTTGGTCTTTATTTGGTCTTCATTTTGAATAACCAATGGTCCGACCACTTGCCCCTTATTAAAAAGTTATCGATATTGTCCGAGCCATTAACATCCCTTAACGTTAACTACTTCGAGATTAAGTAGGAATCTCCAAGTATGGTTGTTAATGGAACTATTGATTGTGCATCACCGTTAAGAATTACTTAAAAGTGTAATTATTTATCGTTACGTATAACGATAAAACTGCCGTAATTTATATTAAACCGGTTTTTATAAAATTTATTTGCATTATCGTTATCAATAAATTCAATAAATTCAGGAATTTAGTCCTGCTTTATCATAAATCGGAACCTAAATCTTTGAATCGTGTAACGAGGAGTTAACATTGATGTGCATATAGTTGTGTTTTAAAAATCAAGCAAATTTTTCTAACACGAACTTTAACATATCTGTTCTGAATTATGTATGTAAGCCTGATCTCATTACTACAAAAAGGATTTTCATACGCGTCGAAATTGTCTAAATTGAATTAGATATCATAGATTACTGAATATTATAAAAGGAATTAATTAAAATGGATTTATACTGTAAACACATAGAATATCTTATTAATTCAATTAATTACAAGGTTTTTTTTAATTCCTTTTTTTTTTTTATTTTGCCAGAGTGAGAGTTTCCGTTCGTTGAACTTCTCGAGAAAAAACAGTTTTCTGTCGTGATTTTATTTTGTGATTAATGTCCACGCACGAAGGTTTTCTCATAGAGGTTACGCCATTGATAACGGGTGAAAGTGAAGTGCCTGAATTTGACTTTTCAAAGTATGGCTGGTTTGCTACCTTTCGAAGGTCAAAGGCCGCGGTGATATGTGTGGCTTCAATTGCCCTCTTTACGTAAGTTATGTTTTTATTTTTAAAAAAAAATTTTTACAAATTAGATATTTCATTAAATCTATCGTTTTTACTAATTCTTACAAAATACTTTTTAATAGTGATATGATTGTATATGGTATTATAGTCCCTATTCTCCCCTTAATCGTTCGAGAACGTATGGGAATGGATTCAACGTCAACCGGGATACTCTTTGGATGTTACGGTACGAATTTTACTTTTTAATTACTTACCGCGAATTTTTTAAATAAAGCTTTTTTTAACGTGTATTTAATTATTTTAGCTCTCGGGCTTTTAGTCTCAACTCCTATTTGTGCCGTTTTAAGCGATAAATACCACACCAGAAAAGTGATTATAATAATTTGCCTATTATTTATTTTTTAAATTTAATTTTATTTTTTAAATTTTCAATTAATTTTCATCTTTTTTTGACAGATCCCAATGATGATTGGGATGGCGGGTTTGGGAATATGCACCCTTTTATTCGGCATTTCCGACACTTATTGGCAGTTGATGTTGGCAAGAATCGCCCAAGGTGCATCAGGAGGAGCATCCTGGTTTGTAACTTGCTGAAATTTTAATTCATTTCACAATTTATTTACATAATTAATAATATAGGACCGTTACTTTGGCTATGCTGGCCGACCGATTTGGAGCCGGTCCTAAACTTGGAATCGTTATGGGAACAGTTTTATCGGCAAACACTTTAGGTTTCATTGCTGGTCCTGTAATTGGTGGTGTTCTATATCAGTACTGGGGATATACTTCCCCTTTTATGTTCTGCGTCATACTTTCATTTATCGGTTTTGTGTCTGCATGCACAATCGTCGATCCGATTAAGTTGAAAGAATGGGATTTGGCAATAAGTAGACGTGATGGAAACTCTGATGACCCCCCAGATTATTGTGAAGTAGAACCCAATTGTAACAATCCTCTTTCAATCTGGAATTTAATAAGAGATTGGGAAATTGTCTCAATTTGTCTGACGCTCACAATTGTAGCAAGTGTTTTTTCGGGTAAGTTATAATTCAAAAAAAAAAATGGTGTCTATATATTAAATGGATCGAAAACTTGGATTACCAACTCTCCAATAGCGGATATCTTAATT